GTTGGGAAGATTCTAGAATTCCATCCACAATTGCCCAACACTTTCACTCCAAAAACTTTGTTGGTTTGTTATGTCTGCTCATTTGAGACACGAAATATTATTCCCATTCCCAAGGGATGATATGAATAAATGATGGATGACTATAGAAGCTCATTCTCAATATGCTTTGCACACACAAAAAAATGAAGCTAAATAGTCACAGGTTTGCATACTGAGCATAAGCTCTTTTCAAGTATTAGCAAATACTTGGAGTCTGTTTTATGACACACAATTTGCTCCAGGTGTTACAGCTAGCTTAGAATTTACTCAGAAAGAAAGCACAAAGAGAATCTGTGTCTTACATTCTCAGAAGCTAAACCATTAGGAAACAGAAGTTACACTAGTAACATATGGAGAAGACAACTAATCCTCTGAGTTTGCCATGCCACATTCATACGTTGAGATATTCTGTTGATATCATAAAGCAACCAAAAGCCCATTGCAACCAACACATACTATTTTAAAATGACCAAGTGAATTTTATCAGTAGGGACAACATCTAGCACTTTTTCTCAAGAAGAAAGACAAAAAATTGTCTACGATGGAATTTCAAAACACATTCATGCTCTCACTGCAAGCTCAACTGTGACACAACTTATGTGCCACCTGGGGATTATGTGCTTGGGTGATCTGTACACAAGGTGTCCGTGATGGAGATGCTTATTTTAGATCTCAAGAAACTGCATTATTTGAAGGTCTCAGGAGAATTGCTAGCCTTTAGCATTTCCTTTTCATTTTCTAAAAAATTTAATATATTATAGAGTCATATTTTCAAAGACTGATTTGTTATGAACACATCAAAAAAGAACAGTTGTGCTTTTATATGCCTTCTGAGCAAGAAAGTGCTTTAAAACATTTTTCAGAGGATATTAGTCACAAAAGGGATAATGGATGATTTGTAACACTGTGCTTCAAAACTGCACTATAGGGCTGAAGCAAGAATCAGCATTATTTATCATGATTGTGAGACAAGCCCTGCTGCTGTCCTGAATTATCTATACCAACTGAATCATCACAAAGAGCAAATAAGGGAGAAAGATTTGATGTTTGAGGGAGTTTGGCTGAGTTGAGTCTTCACCCAGCCAGCTATTAAATGCTTTCTGTAAGTTGCTGACCCCAGAGCATTTCTGCTGAAATTTCAGCAACACAGCAAGTGTTGAGCACTTCAGTCCTCTGCCCTCTCCTCTGACCTGCATATCTCATGTTTTTGCATGGCACTCGCATGTCAGAAGACCATAGCAGTCCATAAGTAACCATGTTTTGCAAGTGCCATGGACTTCTGGAGAGGGCAGAGGACTGAAGTGCTTACTCAATTACTCCAAATACTCATGAATGGGTATTTTGCAGGAATGAAAATTTTGAGATTTGGCACTCAAACAGCAGAGCATTATGACCCAGTTCTAGCACCTGTAAAATGAAATGCTTTGAAAGGAGGGGTCACCATGTCTTTATGAACTGTTTCAGGCATCTCTAGTCTACTGGCTTATCAAAGGTGTCTTTGTCTCTTAACATCTCCTTGTTCTGAAAAGCCTCATGCCTTCATTCTCAAGTGATGGCAATGGGAAAGTGGTAACTGTTGAGCATCACCCAAGGTGACATGTTTGACATTTCACAAGGTCAAGCTCTACCTTAAACACAAGTCTGAAATGTCTTCAGACCTAAACTCAGATCTTTTATAATTTCTCTGTATGTTTCCAAGATTACATGCAATAATGCTTCTTCAATTATTCTATTTTGCACTAAAAAAAGATTTTAAAAAATGCACATTTTTTGACACCTACTATCAGACACCTCCTAGTAATCACATGATATCAAATGTACTTGTGAATTCAATATAGCATTGGTTGTCATTTTAACCTCAGTTCTGAACCTTCGCACAAACAAATTTCTCAAATAGGCAGTGATGAGGGCTGGAACAGTAGACACATTTAAATTTGTTTTCAATGTGTCAAAAATTGATTTGTATACTAGCTTTTCAATCTCATCCATACATTTTAATGTATGACTCAAGCCAGTGTTTAATTCCATTACATGTATCTACAGATGGTTGAGGGAAGAAAATCTAAGCATTCAAACTAGTTAATTGGTGACATTTGGAGAACTAACTACTGGTTGATTTTTTGAGTAACTCTAAAGTTAACATATTTGTTTCCCAGACGTTTGGGATAATTTTGTAGAAGCACACCAATGACCAAAAAAGTGGCTGCTGTTTGTCAAGCAATCAGGTTAGTATTTAAATACACAGAAGGCATTATGCAGCCAAGAAGAGGCTATTGCCTTTCTGTTAAAAACCAGGTGACTCACAAACTGAATTTTGAGAATAAGGTTCACTGAAATAGGAAAGAAGTGAAAGTTAGGGAATGAGAAGACGTTATAGTTTGATCTTGTGAAAAAGCTTTAAAAATCAAAGTCTGAGTAACACTGCTTTCATCTTTAGGTGCAAACTCTAAGCTTTTTCTCTTTATTAATTTTTAAAGAAGAGAAAACCAAAAGCCCTGCAAAGTGGAAATATAATTTACCTTCATTAAACCTAAATTAGTAATTTTGTAATCACACAATAGGAAATTTTTATGACACAAAATGATAAATTCCCCAAGGCTAGAGAAAACTTCATATGGCTGCATACTAAATTACTTTAAAAGCTTTAATATGAATATGAAAAGTTAGAGAATGTAGTTTGCCTTTTTATTTGAATTTACTGAGGGCCTTTTTAAACAGTCTCCACCAGGTGATCTGTCAGGTGGGATTAGCAGGACAAGAAGGGAAAGCCCTGAGTTGTTTGAATTCAAGTCCGATGGACAGCTAGAGTTCAGATAACTCCTCAGTTTTGTGGAGGATGCAGAAACCACAATTTTTGAGAAACGTGATTATTCCTTAAATGTCTCTGGATAATTAAAAAACATAGCAAATAAAAGTATTCTGATTATATGCCCTTAGATTTGAGACATTATTCCTCATCGCCTGCCCAGCTGCCATGGTGGCAGGCAGTGAGACTGCTAGTGCCTGGCCAGCCAGGGTGGAAGGCAATGTCTAATGCTGCTTAAACAGCCAGTCCTCATCTTCTTGGAGAAACAGCTATTAAACCATAAAGAAGCATCCACTTGCTGGACAAACTTGTGGCTGCCTCCTGGACCATACTGATGCTGATGACTAAGGTTAGGTTTTCAAAAACACAAGGGAATTGTCTAATTCTTTCTATCATTTGGTAGATGTTCTAATGACCTCAGTGGAAAAAGAATTATGTCTCCATCTGCTTTTGAAAATCTCACCTTAAATGTCTAAGCTGGCAAGTCCTTCACCATGAAACTGCTGAAAAACACTCATGGATTTCAAGAGCTTGTTTTAATGCTTACTAAGACTTATAGCTCTGAGCAGTCTAATTGAAGTTAATGTTAGTAGGAGTGCAGAGTTTGGAAGGATGACAGCCTTTATTCTCATGCTGAATTTTGAAGGTGATCCAAATAATCAAAACTACTACAGACTTCTTCCTTTTAAAAGAAATTTTAAATTAAATGTCAAACTTAGATCAAGGGTCAGACTTTATACAGCTTTCAAGTTCTCCCATAAACTATCTCATACAGATATTTTTAAACAGTACTACTTAATAAAAGCAGTTCTACTTGTCAAATGAAAACGAATATAAAAAGTCTTCCCGTATGATACAATTTTACAGTATCTGCAAATACTGTTATGCATGTGATATTGCAGTATCATATAATTTTCAGTTGCAAGAGGGCACAAACAGCTGTAACACCTCCTTGCCTGTTATTCAAATTTCTTACTCTGCGATGATTCGAAGAGTAATACAGAATCTTTCTCCTAGGTGTGAGGACCTGCACATAGCCTGGAGGGCTTGCCCCCCCCCGTATGCCCTTCGCATGCCTCCTAGTATTTCCCTCTGTGCATTTAAAAAAAAAACAATTAGGACTTCTTTATTTTGTCCTGTATTTGTGAGCTTCACTCTTAAACTGTTACCAGTGGAGCAGGATTGCTCTTTAAAGAGTTTGGACATGGTCAGTCAGGGGACGGATCAGCTCCTTCAGCTCCTGAGATAGAGAATCAGCTCCTGTGCGAGCTCCAGAGAGTGTAGATGGTCCTTGGGAGAAGTTCATGTTCAGGAAAAGGACCTCAGTGCGTTTTTCAATCAGAAGCTGCTTGAAGCCTCTTTGCCATACAATGACACATCAACAGTGATGAAGTGTTCTTAGGAATCAGAGGGGGAAAATGCTGTTCTATCTTGAACTTCGAATTTTATTTTAAATTTTTTTTTAAATTAAAATTGTATTTTTTTAGAAAATAAACTTGTCTTGTTAAAATACAAACACCAGTTGTCAGACAGCTCTTGATGAAACTGGCCTCTGTCCTCCATGCAACTAGTTCAGCCAAGAAAACAAAGCAATCCACTAAAAGTGAAGCTTATGGGAGCCTGGGGAAGCTGGGACAGAAACAAATGCATCCATGCAACAACTAGGCTGCAGCAAGAAGGAACCAGCTGAAGAAGATAAAAATCTGACAGATGAGACTGAAAAAAAGAGAGCCAAGAAGCCAGCCTTAGACGGAGGGAGAAGAAGGGAGCATCTATTCCCCAATGAGACTAATAAGGATTCTTAAAGCATTGGGTAAACCAGAAGATGGGCTGTCTAAAGGCTGAAGAAAAAGGCAGTGACAATCAGCATCAGTAACCATGAACTCCAGGCACAGCCATCAGACTGCGTTGCTAAGGCACTCTTGTGGGGAATTTGCCATATAGGGTTTTCCACGGTTACAATAATTTTTCTATTACAGGACAATTTTCTCCAAGACTTTCAAACAAGGAGACATGTGGGTAGCACAACTGAATTGTATCCTCCACGTCAATAAAAAGACCTGAAAAGATATTACCTGAAAAATGTTTTCAAACATCATATGTCACACTATAGCAACTATATCATAGTATATAAATTACCAAGGATGTTGAGTACCTGAATGAAAGGGAAGAGCAGTCCGACTGCGAAGTTGGAAAGCCAGTTGACTGTCCCAGCAATCATGAATGCGGCTGGCCTCTGCGACTGCTGGAAAAACTCTCCGGTGAGGACAAACGGAATACCACCTGAAACGGGGTCCAACAAGTCAGTGGTTTAGTAAACTTCCTCTGCCAACAGCTGTTTCACTCACAGAGATGAACATGCTCTGTGTTGCACACCTCAGTGACCAGCACTGCTCTATGGCTCTAAGCTCAGGTGTACGCAGTGGCTTCTGAGTCAGTAAAACGTGATTTGTCAAAGTCATACTTTAGAGAAGCGGCACTTCTCTCTTTCATGCCAGCACATCTCCTGGTTTACATCCTTTCAGTGATGGCAAGCAGGTAACAGAGCAGTGAATCCACACAACAGCTTCCAGAGTACCATGTGATGAGCTGTTTATTAAAAATGATTGTTTCTACTACAATGCTTGAAATTCTGAATATTCAGAAATACTCCAAAATACTTTTAGATCTTAACAGTCAGAAAGAGACTAAAAGATATCTAACAGCTCCAAAGATATTAAACAATATTTTAAAATAATTATTACCCACTTTATTTCAGCAACAAAAAAGGCAAAACTTTGCTTCTCTATGAGCATACTTTTCATTGATGCTTTTTTAATACATTCCCTTACTAGATATACTGCTGGCACTTCTTGCAAGGTCTATTTCTCCCATCAGCCAAGGACTCTGACCTCCGCAATAACAAGCTCAGTCGAATACCTCATTCGTCACTCATGTTTCCTTCCACTTAGTCAGTGGACTATTTTGTGCAGCACTAGCATATTGCTGGCCTGACAATAACCCCCGGGAAATGGCTGTCTAGTAGTTGAAAGTCGCAATTTATGATATTTGGCTTCCTTCATTCCAACAGGATATTTCAATAGAAATATTTCTATTTTTATACAATAAAACATGGATTGCATTTGCTGATTGGCTACATATCTCAGTTAATGTTGCACATCAGACTTGCATCTACTTGCAGAATTATTTCACCACAGTTTGGAGAACTGTAAACCTAGTAACATCAGTCAGGTCTTCAGTATTATGGTGCCACCAATTTCTACCTCTAGGTTCTCATGTGTGCCGGTATTATCTGCCTCACCACTTAGCTTTGTAGGTGAGATCCATGTACACACGTACTATGTAAGTCCTTCCTCTGTTTTAAGCATTTTAACAAGTTAGTGTGAACAATCAAAAACATGTTAATAGATGTACTTTCTTTCAAAAACCTCTATAACAATCCTGACTTCCAAAATATATATAAATTAGGATAAAAACACCACCAAAGACTTACCCATCCACCAGATCCTCTCCTTGCATGTCTTTGCTTGATCTATGTGCTTATCGTTTGTACTACACTTACTCTCAGACTGTTGTGAATACATCTCTAAGTGCTTTATAGTGATGCACTGTCACGCAGCCCCTTGTGCTCAATGGCACTACACTTAAAATACATGCACCAGAAGCTGTCCTATGAGCAGTATGAGATAGGAACTTGTAAACACATAAGAGGACATGCAGAAAACATGGTATCAGATATTCCTCCCTTCCAGATCTTTCAGATACAGAGACCATGAATATAAGCACAAAAGAAAGGCAACATGATGCAGCGAATGACTATATATGTTAGTAGGCACCACTCTCCATCATCAGCTAATGTCATTTTTTTTGATAACATATCTACAATGGTAGCAAAGCCTTCAACTGAACTTTCTGTCCCAAAGACTGCCAGTATAAATTACATCAAAGTACAGAGTAAATAAATTTATTTACTCCTTCTTTATACATAGGAAACTGAGATATGGAGAGTTTGGGCCATCCAAACCACAGCTTAGTGTCTTTCTACAAGCCATATGTACTATCTGAATTCCGTGACTAAAAAAAGTGACCTCTCCCAATAGCACTTTGAACATGTAGAATAAGCAGTTGAATAAGCATAACTTAACAAAATTCAAGAAACATGTGCTCTATCAATCCTTGGTGGCTTCCAGTGCCTATTCTATCATACACTTGGGATTTGGGTTCAAATCCTAAGATCTGGCAGGCAAAACAGCAATCACATCTGTTTTGTCAGCACCTGGTTTAGGTCTCAAATGCCATGTGAGGAAGCAGTTTGCCAGGGCACTTGCTCCTTGGAGAGAGGAACTGAAGGACTGGAAACACAAAAATCATGTAAGATGATTTATTATGATCGTTTCTTCTGTCATGCCTTTGCTGTAGGACAATCTATAGAGGTGTTGCTGTTCTTGTCAGTATAATAACAAATGCTGTTTGAGATTCATTTGGGAAAATACACATTGTACAAGAGAGGAAAAAAGCCAGAGGCAAAAAAAGACAAAAAAAAAAAAAAGAACAAAAGGACAGAAACATATCAGAAAGCATAAATGTTATGGAAATAAAAATGCATGGGCACTATCTTGGAAAAAGGTTCCTTGAAATTCAAATGTAATTTCTAGATACATATTAATCATCACTAAAATTTATTACTAGTCACACTTGCCACAAAAGCTCTTCAATCTAATTTGAAAAATTATCAATTAATCTAGTGATGGTAAAAATAGCATTTTGCAAAGTCTAAAAAAAAAAAGGAATTAACAGCTCCTCTGAGCTCTTTCAAATGTTCTGCAGAGGAATGGGAAAGGTGTCACAGACAGAGCTCCAGACTTTCTCGCAGCATAGACAAGCATCTCCATAGCATCACAAAACAGAAAGTCAGTTTCTGTAGAGGGATGACTTCAGAGAAAATATATGGAGCAACCAAGGAGCCTGAAAAGCAGGAAGTCTGAAAAGTTTGAAAGACAGGCCACATCTAGAAACATGAGAAACCAAATGAAGTCAGGTCATTGCTGTATATTGCTATATGCCTGGAAGAGCAGAGACCTGACCTTACTAGGATGCAGAGCACGGGATGGGAATGCCTGCCAAGAGCCATACCATTGTGAAGAACACACTCCACAACTGAATGAAGTGAAAAGAAATTTGGGCAAGCTGAAGGAAAAATCTAAAGCCTTAAGACACAAACAGTGATGGCACCTGAGATCAGCTGAACCTACAGCCCTAGGAGTACATCCTGTCATTTCAAGGTGTCAGAGGTGTGCTCAAGGACCCCTTTTCTCCTGGAACTTGGTTTATTTGAGATAGAAATCTGGGTGCATGGAGTTGAAGGAAGCTGTAGTATGCTTTGACTACATCAGTTGGATCTGGGCTGCAGAGATCACAATATCATGGCATCTCAACAACCATTCCTTACAGATTCAGTCTCCTTGCAAGGTCTCCTACATAATCACTGGGCCAGATGGGTCCATACTGGCCTGTGTTCAAACATGGATGCTTGGAAACCACAGCCAAAAGCAATCCAACCAAACCACTGTACTTTTTGAAACAGTCTTTACACATTTTGTCATGGGTTTTGCAACTTTAATATGTGTTTGAACATGGGTGAAATAATTTCACTGAAAAGCTAACTGATGTTCTTTCTCATGGGGGATGAACCTGGCATTAGCATTTCCCCTGGAAGGTGTTCCACACAATTTTCAGTGAAACAGCTATATTTTAGCTCTGATCATAAAACCAAAACGTCTATTAGGATTTCCTGTAGGAGTTTTTCAGCAAGGTAGCTTCTGAACATGAATTTAAAGAGGTAATGCATTGACCACAATAATTACAGTGATTAATTTCTAATACTTCGTTCTTTTCAGCATTGCAGTGAACATAATGGAAGAAGCTTTTAACATACTGCAGTGCCATTAAAGAAAGATTGTTATACCTGTTAGCATGCTACGTCTATTGGAAACTACAAATCTCTTATTGCAGGACTTGTGTATCAACAGGCTGTTTAGTGAAACTAGATTAAGCCTACATGACACAATTAGACATGGAACAATACTTCTATATCTGTGCATTTTATTCATTTTCCTCTGTAATTAGTCCAGTTACACTTAGAATCAATGTCATGTGCTGGTGAACATCCAGAATCTCAACCCAATAGTCGTTTATGCATGAAATTGGAATGCTAGAATAAAAATAATATTCTTGGTATACATGCTACAGATTTTCAAAGATATATTTAAATTTGAACAAGTATTGACATGTTTTCTTATGAAAAATTAAGTACGCATTTATTGTCTTGTTCAGTGAGAAGTTACAAATAAATACTGCTTGGAAGAAGTTAGTGCAAAAATCTGAATACAGAAAACAACTGATCTTTCAATACACACCCAAGACAGAGGTCTGTGTGTTCAGGCAGTGGTTCTGTAGCCAGCCAGCGGGTTTCCAGCCCTGCCAGGAGGACCGCTCGTGGTCACATAGCCTAGTGGCCTCCTGCACGACTCAGTACTCCAAATTCTGCCAGTACAGGAGGGAGTTCGGAAATCCTGAGAGCCTTGATTAGGGCAAGAGCTCCCAGACTTTCCACCTCCATGCTTTGAGAGAAAGAGTCTTCAAAGTGAAGAAAACAGATAAGTACTTTGCAACAGTGTTGTGCTTTGGGAAAAAAATGTCTATACAGCTCTAGACAAGATCAAGCACAACAGCTTTTGACTGCAAGGCATGGCATGTAGAGAAGACCAACATATCCTAATAGAGTTGGGAGATAAAGTACTGTCTCAATGAAAGGCTTCATTATTTGCAATTCAAGGGGCAAAAGACAACTCTAGGGAGCAGCTGTGGGAGAGAAGCAATGGAAGTGAGAAAAAGATCCTGGAAGAAAACTGCTGGAAACCCAACACAATATTCTCCACTGAGAAAGCAAAAGGCTACTAGTTTCTACCCAGACCTTAGCTATAAAAAAAAAACCTCAACCAGCCAAACAAACCAACCCCAACCAATCACCCAAAGCCCCCCAACATCCCCACCAAAACCTATGGGAAAATATACTGCAGGAGTACTGCCAGTGAGGGATGCAATGCACCTACTGGGTTTCTTCCAGCTCTATGGATCTACAGATAGAATAAGAACTCTGCAAAATACGTTATCTCAAGCTTTAAAGAGGTGTTCTGTAAGATGTCAGATTATTTTAACTTGTCCATCATATTTGATAGAATAATATCCCAAATAACATTAAATAGTCAGATATGATGGCTGTA